GAAGTCTAAAGCTTGGGCTAGCTTCATGCCACCGAGGTTTTGACCGAACCTGAAAGTCACAAGCCATCAATACTGTTGTTGAATGAGAAGACATAATCTTGATTAAAACAGATGTAGTGGATCAGTACCAGACTTTACCTTTTGCATCTGTGGTAAAAGACTCACAGTTTTCTCTTGTTTTATCGGGGGCTTCCTTTTTTCAAATGACCCCTGGAAGATGTTCAGTGTTAGTATTATTATTAGCTGCTAGGCCTATTATTATAATTCGGAAATTGTGCCGTTAGCAACACTTAGAGTTATTTAAGAGAACGTAAACAAACTCTATAGCCTGAAATAATACACTTTTTACTCACCGGCATCTCTGTGTTCTGCACTTTGGTTTGCGTATTTACATTTAATAAACTGGTCGTTTTTACTTTTTAATATGAAGCAGCTTTGGCAACGCCGTATCTTGCAGATGTCGACACATCAGTGAGAGAATGTTTGGTAAATTTACGTAAAAACGTCACCTGGCCAACTGTCCGCAGGCTACGCAATAGCTTAACAACAATAATTTCTTTGGAAATATAAAAGTTATTGTTAAGTTTAGTCTAAAAACAAGTTATTTTAAGTTGTTACCAGTGTTTGTTTGGTGAAAGTGTTCGCTTCGCTTGTGAAAGTGTCTGGCGTTGCTAGCCCGGTAACCAAGGAAGCGCGAGGACCAGAAGAATGGCCTTCGATTGGTTTACATTTGACGTAAGGAGACAATGCCTGCCCCCAGCACGCGCACCGAGCGTGTGTGTTTAGTGTTTTCTTTGCGACCCGTTTACATTTTATAGCCGTTTAATTGTTGGTGAAGTTCTAGAAATACAGTTTCTCCTTAGAAGAAAAAGAAAAAGAAAAAAACAGTGTGAATGTTTGAGCTAAGGAGAATCACTCGGGCTCTAGAGATTTCGTAGCCTACTTGCAGTCAGTCAAAGCAACAGGTGCACGCGAGCGAAGATAAAGCACCATTCGACACAAAGTAACGACTTTGTAAACTTGTTAGTAAGTCAGTAAGTTAAAGTAACATTTCATTTAAGCCACATATACAGTCTCATTAGAAAAGGGCTGATGACAGTATGTTGATATATTTTAGACCCAAAGGTTTTTCCTTTGAAATTGCCTATAGGCTTATATATAAATATATAAACAGCTTGTGTCATAAGAATGGAGAGTGCCATGCCCTTCTTTAGTCGGGCATATTTTACTGACACCGGGATGGTAGCCTAGGATGTCCCGGTTCTTCTTCATTTAGTCCTCCCTCAATTGCAAATGCCCAGTCACTCAATCAAAAAAAAAAAAAAAAAAAAAAAACGTAGCTAAGTCATGAAGGACAGGGAGTACAGAAACCCTCCAGAGGATGGAGAGAGTGATAAATGAAAGAAACTAATGACAAGCATGAAATGTTGGAAATGAAGGGATATACATGACGGTGACAAAAGGAAAGAGAGACGCACAGTTTCATTAACCCCTCACTGCGGCTGAGTGCCATCAATCAGAGTCAACATTACAGTGCTCTGACATCAGACCCCTGCTGCTCTTTCATCAGTACATGATGAGCATCTCTCCAGAGGAAGAGTACATGAGAGGGAGGGGGGTATAAAAAGGCTGTGCTCCTTAGCTGGTGCATTGGAGGAATTGGAGTATTTCCCCAAAATCCTGCAGCATGCAAAATGGGGCCCAGTGCGAGGTAGAGGAAGCAAGTCCCAGTCGGCCCGTTTGCGAGTGCTTTCTGGGGAGGGGGGTCCCCCTCTGTCCATTCATCACAGGGCCTCCTAAACCACGGGGCCCAGTACCAATTGCACTGCCCTAATGAAAGCCCTGCCTGTGACGAGAAACTTTAAAAGCCCTGCTGGTGAAGTATTGCCATTCTATAGATAAGCCATATACAACTCCACTACCTCCCCTTTTGTGATACTAGTCTGGGGTGGTTTGCTATAACTGTATACTTTATTTGCATACTTTGTTTAAGGTCGTCACCCAGGTGCTTTGTCTCCATTTAGCACCCCTAAAATGAATATAAACTACAATGCATCACTAATGGACTATAATACTATGAACAATTTATATTTATTTATATATTTTTTATTATTTATAATGTAAGAAAGTGTGATATGTTGTTACAATAATATGTTGACTTCAATCTCAGCGAAGCCAAATAAAAACACATGCATAATGCACTTGAAGGAAAATCGGAAATTTCGGCAGCCTTATATCCAGCAGAGGGTCTGCACAGACACCCCATTTTTCAGATTTCCTTGAAGATGGCTCTTTTCATCACCATTTCATTCAAACAAATCATCTTGGGGCCTCTTGAAGAAAGTTTAAGAAAATCTCAACATTAAAAATGTTATTTCATATTTAAATACAGTACGAGAAGGGAGTAATAACTGTCCAATTTGGACTTGATGACTGCGGCGAGTCAGCGACCAACAGCTCGTTCTCAATAAAGAATCTATATGGAGAGTCTTCATGGGCTCCTTTTGAGTTTCCTACAAAATCAGTATTGTTTTAGGTGTTGTTGAACTTCTGTCTTTAAAAGCAAAGGCTTATTTCTTCCAAATCTAAGTCTTCTTCGAAATCTTCTAAGTCTACGTCTAAATTTAGCTAAGTAGCAGATTAATTAAATAATAGTCCTTATGATAAGACATCATACAGTAGGAAGAAAAAAAAGTTGAATGATCCATTCACAAAAACAAGCTGAATAAACGGAGCAATTCCAATAGGGTCCTCACATCATCGGTGCACGGGCCCTAATGAGGACAACTCGAAAATAAATCAAATGTTTAACAAATACATGTTTCTGCATCTAAACCAAAAATATACCAATATCACAATTAAATCTGTTTACAAGATAGTATTTGCAAGGTATTTATAAATGAGTTTAAGATAAATTTCTTTGATTCTATTTGTGATTAAATATTTATGAGAAAGTTTCCAAATTTTACTTCGCAACAGACCATCAACACACCCATTCCAAAATTATATAATAGCAGAATTGGAGAATATTTCTTTGAAACAAAGCCCAAACACCTAGATTATTATTCCTAATGTGGGGGGAAAGAGAGAAACAGATTCAACAAACCATATCAGCAGGATCCAGAGAGAGCTGAGGACAGGCATTTTAAGAAGCATTTTTAGACAGCATCCACAACTACATGCAGCATAATCTTTAAGAGTGACTGGAATTGTATTATATAGAGAGAAATTCAGAATAGGTCATCAACATGTAAGTCCTTCATGATTCAATTTTTTCTCACAAAAACTATATTACAAAACTATTCCTCAAGAAGCAAATACTTATATGTAGAGTCTAGACACAAATGCTTATTATTCCAGATAGGCTAAAACCCATGTTTGGTGAGAAATTGTGTTTATACTATACTGCAGCCAGCCACCAGGGGGCGATCGAATGTAAAATTTAAGAGAATATCAGACTGTAGACTGTAATAAGGGTTATTATAATAATATTTTATAAATGCTCACTGTTTTGTTGTTGTTTTTTATTTTGTGAATTAACATTTCTCTTGATGAATTATTTATTATAATCATAAATCAGTGCCATTGATATGAACGAAAATGCTCTTGCTTGAGAATGCTAATGGTCTTTAAATTATGTATAAAAATCAATAATTGTAGAATGTTTATAATCCCAAACTAAGAAGTAAAAACGCGAATTAATGAAAACCCACACGAAATCCAAGAACACAAAATTAATGTTGTCTGTGTGTTGTCACTTGTCAGCTGTTTGTGGGAGCTAAGTTATTTTAGCCTAAATTTCCCAAAGACTTGACTTTGGTTTCGCACACATACCGCTGTATCTGTAGCCTAATGCTAACGTTAGCGCTGCACGTCTGTTTCTGAATACGTAAAGGATAAAGCATTTGAAATAACAACTATAACCGAGATTTATATCGCTTGATAAAGTAGCAGTTTTAATGTGAGCACGAGAAGGCGTCGTAAAAGAATAAATTTAAAAAATCTGATATTCTGAACAATCAGAGTAATTCGTATGATATGGGGGGAAAAAACACTAATCAACAGTACCGATTTTATTAATGTTAGAGTTACACGAATAAATGTAGTGACAAGTCAGAAAGGCTTCAGTGAGTGAAATGACGTATGTCAGGATGGCCGAGCGGTCTAAGGCGCCAGACTCAAGGTTCAGTCCTTCCTGTGAAGCGGGATTTCTGGTCTCCGAATGGAGGCGTGGGTTCGAATCCCACTTCTGACAGTACTTTTCTATCTCATTTAAAAATAATAGGATGTTTGTCTCAATAAATGTATATAGATGATTGTTTTACCCTTTATCCAGACTTTAAATATTAAACATATATTAAACTGAAAAGTATTAATTCAATTCATATTAGCCTTAATAATATGAATTAGTACATGTTTAAAACTGACAATGACTTAAATAAACCTAAACCATTTCAATATTTACACATTAAATACATTTTGTGAAAAGAACATATCAATATATATCAGTCTTTCAAAAAATGATGACTGCCCCACAGTTGAGCTGTAATTTTGGCAATTACTTTGCCCCCAGTAAAGCTTTATAAAAAAGTTAGTGTGCTTGTTTGCCAAGGAGACAACAGTGTCAAATCAGCATTTGCAAGTCTGCAATTTTATTTAAAAATGTAAAAATATATATATTTTCACCACAGAATGTACTATAATACCCAATTGTAGATTGAAATTTGACTAAATTATCAACTCAAGGGGTGTTGTGTAAACATTTTGAATGTCAGGGAAGAAAAATAAATGTGCACAGATTCATTTTAATGTCCAAATTTCAACTGTGTGTTTTTAAATGCAAGTGATCACATTTTCTGACACATGAATTAATCCTGATTCTGTGTAACCATAAAAAAAATATGAACATATCAGAGGTGGTCTCTGTGTAATGCACTATGTGTAAAAAATACTATGTAAAACATCAACAGCACAGATATTAAAAAGCCATTTAAACAATTATGTCAGTAGTCTTTCAAGTAGGCATTTTGAACAGTTCAAGAAGTCTGAAGACCGGAAAATGTTTGCATGCAGCTTTAAATGCAGCAAGGGACATGTAGATTTCATAAACTGATCTCTTCCTGGATTTTCTTTCGTTTCTGGAGTCTGGCACATTTGGGACACGATTCATCACGGACACATGAGATGTGGAAACAGGCTCTGCAATCTAAAAAGAAATCCAAGGCAAGGCAACTGTCATTTCATGAAATACAGGAATGGCCTTATACAGCTTGTATTATTGAGTTCTCTTCTTACACTGACTGCTAAAGCATATTAACCCAAGTTGAACAGAAACATTGTTTTGAGTTATTTTGAAAACAGAGTGTTGGAAATGCTTTTAGTATGTTGATGTCTGACCTTGGCAGCGTGTGCAGGTGTCTCTCTGAAAAGGGAAAAGCACTTCTTTCCCATGACAGAACTCACAGATAAAACCTTTGGCCTGACACAGCTGAAGATTGTAAGAGAGATGGTGACTGTTGAGATTTATACAAAGATAGTACATAACAGTAGTGTGTAATGATCTACATTGTTCATTGTAAAACTTTTTTTTTTCTATACTGTTCCACAGATACATTGTTTATAAGACCATGACTGTGATCATACAATCCTATAATCACGCATGAACTCATTTACATGAATTGACTTTGTAGGCGTCTAAAAAATAGTTGGACAAACCTCACAAAGGTCTATGTGAGCAACTGCAGACTGCAGCAAGGCTTTTGCAATGGTACAGAGCTGACCCTTTTTCACCCTGATGAGTTCATCCATTGAAAAGAGGTGGAGTTCCTGCATCAGGTGAGCAGGAAGTTGTTCAAACTCGTCAAGGACTCTGGTTAGAGAAACAGGTGTCAACAAAGAAAAACCTACTCACTACATACCCAGCTTTCTTAAAGAAACATCATATCCAGATTGTTTATGGCACTGCCAAGAATGTCCATTATGAATTCTCTATACTGAAACTGAAACAAGAGTGCTAGAGAAGAGACAAATCACCCAGCTGATAGTCTGCATGTACTCAGAAGCTTTTTGATGGATATTAGTTGCTCCTGTAGTTCCTAAAGTAAACGAGAGAACATAATTAATATTATCATGAGATAACAGTTCATGCAACCTGATTGACCTGATATTACCCCAGCAAAAGACATACATACTGTATACTCTAAACAGGGCAGAATGAAACACTCACTCTGAAACGCTGTAGCTCTTTGGCCTGGCTGTACAGGTTTTTGGCCACACTTGTAAGTTTGAAAAGCGGTTGCTGCCATATAGAGTCCAGTAACTGTCTGGAAAAATGGCAGACCGGATACCGTGCAAAATCCCAGTTATTCAGAACCCGACCTGGAATCACTGATTCTAAACCACCGTGGCAGCCATCACAAAAGTATCTTCCCAGGTAGTCACAATACCGCAATTTCTTCATATACCCTTGGGAGAGAGAAATTTCCAAGGTTTAATGTCACAGGACTAAACGTTTTGGATCACATGAATCATATTAAGAGCAGCTTCATTACTCACTGGGCTCGACTTCAGTACCACAACCTGCGCACAGGAAGTACTGGGAAGTGATGACATCACTGCGTCTGAAAACATATGAACACCCTTGTGAAAAAGAAATGCGCTTAATTCTATATGTGCACTTGTAGACTACTTCAAATCTTACAAGTGTATTTTTATTAAGTTGCATACTATAATATAATAATAGTGAAAGACCACTTACTAAAATAGAGTACACTTTCATGACTGTTTCACACTTTTAAATAAGTGTACTTTGTAATAATTTACATAACTAAATCACATGTAAAGTACTTGATTTTATTGTAACTGTATGTGTGTTATTCAGTATTACATTTACAGTATTTTATATGTACTAACTTCCTCAATTACAAATATATTTAAATGCATGACAATCAAGTTTCAATAGAAATGACATAAATAGTTTACCATAAATGCTATCATACTTCGAAGACAATAGAAGTAGAAACTACACAAAGATGTACCCGAGTCTTACTACAAAATATGTGTTGCAGTTAAAGGAATAGTTCATCCAAAAATGAAAATTCTGTCATCGTTTACTTACCTTCAAGTTGTTCCAAAGCTGTACGAATTTCTTTTTTTTCTGCTGAACACAAAAGAAGATATTTTGAAGAATCTTGGTAACCAAACAGTTGATTGGCTCCATACTTCCATAGTATTTTTTTATTCCATAAGTCAATGGGGCCTATCAACTGTTTGAATACCCATATTCTTCTAAATATCTTCTTTTGTGTTCAGCACAATATAGAAATTCATACAGGTTTGGAACAACTCGAGGATGAGTAAATGCACGTGATGACCGAATTTTAATTTTGGGTGAACAATCCGTTTAAGTGTCTGAAATTGTTACATTCAGTTTGCACTTAAATATATTCTTTTGCAGTATATTATTTCTGTAATAAGTACTCTTTTAAAGTAACACTTATGAAGAGAGTCAAGCTTGCATGAATGTATAAACTCTGTTAATGTGTATGGTGGTCTTGCTCACCTGTGTGTTGGCTGGACACAGAAGATGATTTGAAATCTGGGTGGAGCCCAGGTTAATGTTCCTCTCATTCTGGTCTTCTGCATGATCTCTTCAGTTAGACTGATCCTGTCCTCTACCAAAGCGACCTGCAGAAAAAAACAGTTAGAATTGATCAATTAATTCTGGTGAAAAATATATGTCGTTAAAACAGTTATACATGTGTGTACAGTATATGTGGCAGAGAAAGAGAGGTGTGTGTGTGTGTGTGTGTGTGCGCGTGCGTGTGTGTGGCTGCACCTGTGTGTTCTCAGTGCATGAATGTGTGTTGTTTATGCATAACCATTCTCACTTCCTGCAGAGCAGAGTTGAGGTTGACAGGGTTTTGCAGTAGCTCAGAGGGGAACCACTGCTTCCTGAACTCTGACACCAAATTGTGGGCTAAATCTTCAGCAGACCACTGCATTCTATAGCTCTGGAGACAACTGGGAATAAAACAATTCTGTCTGGAACTTGTGCATAAAAAAATGTAAACATGATTGCATTAACTTGTGCATGTAGAATTCAGTGCATACCTCTGAAATGAAGCCAGGGAGTGTCTGTTTGAAGACAGTTGGGAGGCGCTGTCATCTGACAGAGAAACAAATAGACAAGATTTTTCTTTAAATTTGCTTCAGAATAGGAATTGTTTTCTTTTAAAACTATTAAACAATCTGCATGGTGGGGTGACATGCTTTTGCATTATGATTATATAGAAACAATTTATTTGTAACTGGCTAGCGGTTTACAATAGGGGTTTATATTTCAACATTATGTAATAGCTACAATTAAATAACACAAAACGATGTTTGCACAGCATTTATTAATCTTGATTAATGTTCCTTTCTTCATAAACTAATTCATTTTTTAAAACTGAGTTTTGCGATAATGATTGGCTGCTTACATGACATGAAATATTGATTTGAGTTTAAATTATTTAATAATTTTACCTTTGTATTATCTTAAAGCTTTCGCTAAGAAAAATAGTTCTACGTAAATAATCAGCCAAACAGGGCAACAGCAGTAAATACTTATGCTGTTAAATACTAAAAATACTAGTTTTATGGTAAAAGACCTACTAAAATGGAGTCTGCTGAGGTGACAAAAGACCAGGTTTTTTGTGAAACAAGTGAGAGTATTATGATGAGAGACTATAGCACCAGTTAACATTATTTAACTATAAAACAGAATGTCACTACATTGATAAATGCTGTGAAAATATTCTTCATTGTTAGTTAAATGACACCTAATGCATTCATTAATGTTAACGTTTGAACATTATTGTAAAATGTACTTATAATTGTGGTGAAGTAAATACTTATTTCAGCAAAATACAGCCTGCAGAATACAGTACTGATGACCAGCTGTTTTAAAGAGACCAGGTCAGCATTATCTGATCTTTGTCAGGACCACATCACATGCGGATGACACAGGATTTTGTTGCAACACAATCTGATCTTACCCTCAAACCCGCTGTCAAAGGAAGAGATTGAGTCTGTTTTTGAAGTATTGTGTGTTTCACATCTGTCTTGATGTGGATGTGTGTTTTTTAACTGCTGCAGACACACAACCCATTTCACAGCCTCCAGAACTTCCAGCACCATATCCACAACTACAAAATGAGCATTTTCCTGCAGACAAACAACAATAAAATACATACTTTATGCTATAGGCTCTGAAGATGCAAATGCTCAGAAAGTTTTTGAATGACTTTAAATGATTATGTTACCAATAAAACATTTTTATCATTACTAAGTAAATGAACAGTATAGTCTTAAAAATGGCTTGCAAAAATGATGCACTATTGATGACCTATTATGCAAAATTCACTTTTACATGGTGTTTGAACATAAATGTGTGTCAGCAGTGTGTGTACACAACCACCCTATAATGGAAAAAATCCACCCACACAATTTGTATCCCCATAAATCAAAAGCAGTGTCTCAGAATAAGCGTTTGCAGATTCTGAATGCTTAGGCCCCGCCCACTATTGCTGACGGACTTAACTCTATTAGCATAGACCCCGCCCTCAGTGAGCTGTACACACAGTCTGCCATGTTTATCTCATCGCCAGAGCATTAAAGCAGCATTCAAGTAAGAAATGTATTATAAGTTACTAAAGTTAATTAAATCAAGAACAGTGAGTAATTTTCTGTTTTTGTTTTGTTGTTTAACAGCATAGAAGTAGGTAGGCTACTGTATGTTACGCTGCTGTCACTATAATACACAGATCTAATATACACATGTGATTTCTTCACTTTCGTCTACGTTCACAGACATAACTGACTGTGTTTATGTGGACTTTGTGTGTTTTTGACATAACCTTGTGTGTATTTGACATTTTAAGCGCAATAAGACGTGAAAGAGAACTTAGTTTAACAGCTTTCTGTGCGCGTGCTTCGGATGTGTGCGCTCAGAAAACCAATTATCAGTATTTTAAACTGATAAGGCTTTGAAACGCAGGCAGATAATAAACTTTCGTGATGATAAAGAACTGCAATGTCACGTGAGCGATAGAGATGATAATAATCAAAACCAAACACATGTTTTAGTTTTTGGCAGCGAGTCTCCAAGGCATGAGCTGTACAGGCTCCGCCATCTTCTGGAAAGCAGGGTGGGGAGCAGCATTTAAAGATACATGCACAAAAACAGTATATTTTTCCTTCCACTCAAAAATGGACATTTACACTATGGTGTCATAAATGATTTGTGAGGTATTTTGAGATGAAACTTTACAGACATATAGAGACTTATATTAGCTATCTTGTAAAAAAGGGGGCATGGTCCCATTTAAATTGGCCCATTCCCCAAGCCCCTTAATCATTTTTTACAGCATACCTACCTTATGCCGTCGGTGTATGAATAAGTGAGTGAATGGGTGAATGTGAGGCAATATGTAAAACGCTCTGGTGGCCATTGGGTCTGTGAAAGCGCTATATAAATGCAGTCCATTTACCATTTACCATTTTACCTTGTCCAGACTGTAGATGTCTTCAGTGGCGTGTACATCAACACATGATCCACATTTCTTAGCTTGGTCTGAGCTCCTCTGCCTAGATGCTAGTGGGATGTCAGAGCAGGCTCTTCTTTTAGTCTTTGACCGGAAACCCTCATGTAACCGTCCAGACACTAAAGACTGGCTGTGAAGCTGAGTGTCCTGAGAGACACGTGAAATTCCTCGGCCATGATTACCTGCGAGGAACTGTGTCTGTCCTGAAGAGCCCTTGGGTGAATCATTGTGATCAAGGTCTCTCTCTTTCTCTACACGACTGAATCTATGTGCACTTGAATCGTTGGATTTCGTCATTGGAGAGATGGATAGTTCCCATATTGGAGGTGTCAAAGACAGATCAGATGGTTTTTCTGTCTCTGTGTTATGTCTCTTGCGGGATATGACAGGGCTGCTCCGGGGTAGATGGTACTGTTCCTCAGGGTCGTGCAGGTCTGAATCCAATTCATCGCACATCTTCAGTCCACTTTCATCGATATCATCCTCATCAGTGTTGTCAGAGGGATTCTCATTTAAATCAGAATTCACTAACCAGTTAACAAAGTGCAGCTCTCTGACCATACTGCTACTGCTGCTACCAGCATTTGCCTGGAGGAAGAGAGAGGACATGACACTATCAGGGATACAGGGAAAATATTTTTGATTAAATGGCCTAGTTTTATTTTTTAACATTATTCCGTCTAAGTACTGTGCTAAGAGAAATTATGACTCACTCAATGTTGTATCATCATTTACACACCCTCATGTTGTTCCCAACCTTAGGGATATTCTGAAAAATATTTGAACTGTTTTTGTCCATAGTGAAAGTCAATGTGGTCTGAAACAGCACTGGACCCCATTGACTTTCATTGTATGGACAGAAATATATATGTATATATATAAATATCTTCTTGTTTTCCTCAGAAGAAAGAAAGTCATACAGGTTTGGAATGACATGAATGTTGGTAAATTACACTCATTTCAAATTTTGGCTGAACTATCATAACTGCACCAGTTTGTCTTTAAGCTGTATTGGAGCAAGCATGTTTCTCAATGATTCTGAACGACAGCTTAGAGTAAACAGTCCTATGTGATATGTGATCTAGCAAAGAGATAAAAAACAATAAAACTCACCATATTTTGTTCGTGAAAATAGGAGAAAAGTTGTTGCTTTCGTTTATGATATGATCTGATTCGTCTCAAGCAGTTTCACTTCCTCAGTCTGTAAATACATTATAACCCAGTGTACTATTTCCTTAGAGAAGCAGAACAGCTTGATTAATCTAATAAGGGAAAACTATAATATGATTGTTTAAATGTTCTTAATATGTTTTGTGTCTAATGTTTTGCTTGTTTTTTAAAAATAATAATTTGGTTACACTTTATTTTACAGTGTAATTATATTTTTAAGTACTGAGTAATATTAATTAAGTACTTTAGGGTTAGGGGTTAGGATTAGGTTTGGTTTAGGGTTAGTTGCATGTAATTATGCATAATGTATAGTTATGACTATAGTAACTATTGTACATGTAAGATGTGTAACAAGGACACTAAAATAAAGTGTTACCTAAAATGTCCTTTATATGTGTTCTTGTAAAGTCAGTCATAAATCTTAGTACACTTGCATGAAGTCAGGCATATTGTATATTTTTCACATTAAAAATAAATTATTATAAATTACATATTTTTGGAGTTCATTATACAGACTCACTTGAACAAACACTTTCAGAATGTTCTCCTTAAATCTACTCATAAAAATGTTAACCTGTTTATTTCTATGAGTAGCCTACCATTTATGACCATTTTGTAATCTGAAGCATCTAAAAATAATTATTGATATAGTGTGTCCTGCATACTAAAATAATATTATAATGTCTAATATTACAATATAACAGTGCATATTATAATATAACACTCTCATTTTACTGTCCACTAATTGTTTTTTTCTAATTATGAGTTACAGTAGCCTATATTTAAAAAATATATAGGCCTAGCCAATAGAGAGCATGCATTTATTGTGTATTTAATAATATTTCATAGTGTTTAAAAATCATGAATTTCAAAAGGTTAAGAGGTTTAATAAGAATCTCCATCTAGTAAAGTACTAACCATCGCTATTTGTGAATGTACAGCAGATGGCGCTATAGTAAAGGCCAGTAAACACGTTATTGGCACGAGCTCAGTTCCATAAACAAACTGCGCAGACGCGTTTTGGACAGTCAGATAACGCACTAGGAGGAAATTCACCCACTGCATGTTGAGACCAGCACATTTTCTTTAGGATATAGCGATCGCAGAGCCTTTCGACGAGCTTTTTTTCCCGACGGGGCGAATATGGCGACGCTGGGACCGGAGCCCCGTCCTCATTCCCACCTGACTTCTGCCGCATTACAGACGAACCTGAGCGGACAGGGCTCCAACACGAACCTGCCTCTCAGCCGGGGCTTGGAGAGAGCTCTGGAGGATGCGGCGAACTCTGGATTTATGAACCTCAGCTCAAGAAAACTGAAAGAATTCCCTCGGACAGCAACAAATTACGACCTAACGGATACGGTTGAAGCAGGTAAAGTCGAAGTGATGCTTTATTTGTGTTTAGCACGCGGTGCGCCCGCGCCTGCTCAGTCAGATGCTCTTGAGAATATAGTTTCAAACGGGAATGTTGCTCAAAATGTCTTGTCGCATTTTGACCCATTATGTGTTGGCTGTTAGAAACTTTATTATACATATATTACTCAACAGAAAGCAGATGAAACGTCTCCATCAGCATGCATATAGCATGCAGAGTATGTTGTTGCGGACAGGACAGTGTCCTGGGCCGGGATAAAGATGCGGGCCACTTCAGTTGTGTCCAGAATCTCCAGATGCATTACAAACGCCCAGAAAATAGCTTTGAGGGTGTGTGGGATGAAAGTAGAGGATGTTGTTATTGTCGCGCGGGACTGACCATATTATACTTCCTACTATGACCAGCTTGTCCACATACTGATTATGGAAATCCCCTTACACTTATGATTAAAGATTTCATTTCCATGTTTGGAGATAAGTACACACCAATGCCAAAATGAATGCATTGGTGGGTTATGTTTTGAAACCAGAACTCTGAAGGCTGATGGTCATTGGATCTGAAGGAGGCTCTTTTGTTTACTATTGATTGTATAGCGTAAATAATTAACTTTCAACCCATTGAAGTTGTCATTGAGGACACACTCGTGAGGAGACACTTGAGCTTCCTATAAAAATGTCCTGAATTAAAAAAAAAAAGAATGCTTTGATTTGATGCTTTTATGTCTACTGCTTGTTATGATGATGCATCTCTGCGAGGCCTATGACGTAGGGATCTCATTGAGTCGAATCTTTTGAATCTCTTAAGCAAAATGATTCACTCAGGTATTTCTGTAGTACGGTACATCATTTTGTTTCTTTGTGTGGCGAATGAGAATGTGGTGAATATTTCACTTAACCAATTTGTTAAAGTCACCACGAAATCAAAATCTATTTATTTGTATTGACTATTGCAGTATTCTGTAAAAGATATTTCTCTGTGCACATCATTATTATTTTTATTATTCATGCCCTGCGTGAGGGCGGGACAATCTGTCACTCCCATGAGATCCCAGCAATAGTAAATGACAACGATTCAATGATCCAATCAAATCCTCCGTTTTTAAATGCAACACACATTTTACAATCCAATCAACAACTGATGCATATAGAACCAAGTCTCCACCCTACATGTCCGTTACACTTGCATGTACACTCACCGGCCACTTTATTAGGTACCCCATGCTAGTAACGGGTTGGACCCCCTTTTGCCTTCAGAACTGCCTCAATTCTTCGTGGCATAGATTCAACAAGGTGCTGGAAGCATTCCTCAGGGAGTTTGGTCCATATTGACATGATGGCATCACACAGTTGCCGCAGATTTGTCGGCTGCACATCCATGATGCGAATCTCCCGTTCCACCACATCCCAAAGATGCTCTATTGGGTTGAGATCTGGTGACTGTGGAGGCCATTTTAGTACAGTGAACTCATTGTCATGTTCAAGAAACCAATTTGAAATGATTAGAGCTTTGTGACATGGTGGAAGTAGCCATCAGAGGATGGGTACATGGTGGCCATAAAGGGATGGACATGGTCAGAAACAATGCTCAGGTAGGCCGTGGCATTTAAACGATGCCCAATTGGCACTAAGGGGCCTAAAGTGTGCTAGGAAAACATCCCCCACACCATTACACCACCACCACCAGCCTGCACAGTGGTAACAAGGCATGATGGTTGCATGTTCTCATTCTGTTTACGCCAAATTCTGACTCTAACATCTGAATGTCTCAACAGAAATCGAGACTCATCAGACCAGGCAACATTTTTCCAGTCTTCAACTGTTCAATTTTGGTGAGCTCTTGCAAATTGTAGCCTCTTTTTCCTATTTGTAGTGGAGATGAGTGGTACCCGGTGGAGTCTTCTGCTGTTGTAGCCCATCCGCCTCAAGGTTGTGCGTGTTGTGGCTTCACAAATGCTTTGCTGCATACCTCGGTTGTAACGAGTGGTTATTTCAGTCACTGTTGCCCTTCTATCAGCTCGAACCAGTCTGGCCATTCTCCTCTGACCTCTGGCATCAACAAGGCATTTCCGCCCACAGAACTGCCGCTCACTGGATGTTTTTTCTTTTTCGGACCATTCTCTGTAAACCCTAGAGATGGTTGTGCGTGAAAATCCCAGTAGATTAGCAGTTTCTGAAATACTCAGACCAGCCCTTCTGGCACCAACAATCATGCCACGTTCAAAGTCACTCAAATCAACTTTCTTCCCCATACTGATGCTCGGTTTGAACTGCAGGAGATTGTCTTGACCATGTCTACATGCCTAAATGCACTGAGTTGCCGCCATGTGATTGGCTGCTTAGAAATTAAGTGTTAACGAGCAGTTGGACAGGTGTACCTAATAAAGTGGCCGGTGAGTGTATATCACAATATGGAAGAAAAGATCTATCACTACCTCCGTTTCATTGCAACTTTAAGCATCATCACAGGGTTTCCCCTCAAATAACAATTGCAAAAACATATCTTTATTTATTTATTTACTACTGGGCATGATTTTTATCTGGTCATAGAAAAAGGACCACAATAATAGTCTAAATAAATGTAGAGTTTCAATAAGGACTTTACCACATTAATTGCCAGTTCGGCTGTCTTTAAGAGCCGCTTTGAGTCTCATTAACACAATGGCTGCATCTGAAATCGCATACTTTCCTACTAGGCTATGTCCAAATTTACAGTACTCATAAAAGAGGCAAAAAGTACCCGAATGACCTTCTTGTTCTGGCGAGATTCTGAAGTGTGCATATGATGGACACTGTACTATACCATGAGGCCACGGGAGAGGATTTGTGAATGGCAGTGAAGCGATGCAACTGACGCTGGTAGGTTACATGATAATGACAACATGGCGAATGTAGTATATCCAGATTGCATTCATACTACACACATTCATACTATATAGAACATACTTTTTTTGCGGTCTTGAACTAATTACTTATTACCTACTCAAGAGAGTATGCGATTTCAGATGCAGCCAATGACTAGTACTCGGTCCAATCAATGAATTGAGTGCTTCAAAATAAACTGTGAACGAGTCGATGTATGGAGAACAGTCATTCACAGGAAAGATTTGGTCAGCAGTCATGAACGGCTGCGGGAAAAGCCAAGATGACAGTTGGGAATGTCCACTGAGCGGGAGATCTGCTTCCGTTCCCCATGAATTCCTCCGCACTCCCCTCAGCTCGGAGGCAGGAGAGCAGCTAAAATAGGAAACAGGAAAGGGCAGACCGTGGAAATGGCAAATTCCTAGCATTCTTGGAAGCTCTTCTGAAGTACTTTAATGCAGGAAATAAATTATACTTTCAGTCCATTATGATATTTGGAATGTAAGAAGTGTTATTAAGTGACTAAACAGCAACTCATTTTAGCTGTTTATGGTGTCACAGCTCACAAAGATGAAGTCATCCTTACCATTAGTAACGGTGAAGTTAGCACAACTATTATTTACTGTCACTCTGCATCCTTATAGATATTTCAGATATGTTTCAAAGGGCCCCAAGATTTGTGACCTCAGTAGAAGCGTTGGTTAGGACTCATTCAGGTGTTCTGTGCCTGACTGTGCCACAGATGATTTCAGCTCCCATTTCTCCCCATAGCTCTGGATTCCTCAGAAGTTATGTTTTTTTTTTTTACTGATTCAAGATATTTCAAGCTGGGACATGTTGCCATACACACACTCTCCCTCTACCATTTTACATGAAGAAAGCCTCACAGAGTTTCACGGGTGGTGTTGGGTATTTTCCACTGCTAATAAAACCACATGTGTACTTTTTTTTAATGTTTTTGTGGCCTTGAGCTCTGTTTTTAGGGAAGAAGATGCCTGTTGTTGTTTGTTGTGATTGGAGTCATCATTTCAAGAAGGAGTTTTCTGTAAATTCCAACCCAACTGAAAGTGAAAGCACACAGTTTAATACCGGTTTTAAATGCACAGTAGTGTGTGTATATGTAATTGTATAAATGTATCTTTAATACTGTGCATTAAGTTGTTGAGACCTAAATTTGTAGCATTAAAAGGTTTGGGATTAGTAAGATTTGTTTTTAAAGAAATTATTTTACTCAGCAAGTGATCAAAAGTGACAGTAAAGACATTTATCGTGCTGCAAAATATTCCTAAGCTTTTTTTTTACAGCTGTCATTATTTTTGTCTGCAATTAATTATATCTTTATTTTTGCACTACTTTATTTTTTATTTTGCAATTCTTTGTTTTTGTTTGCAAAACAACTTTTTTTTTGCTCAATACTTTATTTTTCTTTTGCAGAACTTTATTTTCTTTTGCAAACATATGTGGCATTATATTGACTCCATAGAAACGGTCTCTTCTTTATTACTCATTGTTGTGTTTTCTGTCAGCATTTGACTTTTTCCTCTCAAACACTGAACTTACTGCTTATGTACAATGTGCAGTGTTTCCGTGACCGTACAGAAAGCACGCAAATAAGTACGCGATTGGTTGTCCGTTCCTAAGCGTTTTAATATTGGTGAATCCCTAGTAAAAATGCCAAAAGTGTGACTGAGTTAACTAGCTGAACCGTGCAGTGGGATATTGTTCAGTTCCACTGATAGCGCCCAACATATACGAATTGGCGTGTCATACATACGCCATTTCATGAGATCAGTCTGCAAGCAAGGCACAGATCACATGCATCAGAAGAAGTTAACAGATCCATTCTGTGTTCTCTAACAGAATGCACTGCAGTTTAGAAAGGCAGCACAGGCCCACTCACAATGTGATGCAGTTTGGTCTGTTTTTGTTGCTTTTTTTGCAGCATGTGAGGTGGCGTGTGATCCACACACTCCTCTTCACATGCAAACACCTACATGCACTACATGTAACCTGTGATCATCTATCCTGTTGAAGTGAGAGATGATGTTATGATGAAGCCACCCCCCCCCCCCCCCCCCCCTCTCTCTCTCTCTCTCTCTCTCTCTCTCTCTCTCACCTCCTACCTCCTACTTCTTTCTG